CATAAGTGTGGTTCATAAGTCTTTCTCCTTTCTCGTTTTTTTATATAGATTAGACCGTTGGTTTTCCCGTTTGAATGGTTTTACACAAGTCATTTTTTGGGGCCCTTTATAGCTTACTGTTCGGTGTGAGCCAATGCTCCGTGTTGAAGACCGTACTTTGACCTATAATGTTTTTTCTTTTACAAATTGTGACTTGGATGGAGATTTGTCTCATTGGCACTCATACCACATCTTCTTATATCTATTTGCTCATTGATAAAGGTCTTACGGTGTATACGCATGTATTAAGCTATCAAAAGAAAATAATATAAACATTGAAAGTTAAAAAAAGGATAAACCATTTAGTCATATGACCTTCGATTAAACTCCTTATCTTGAGATGGGAGACGCATGTATGTATCTATTAAACGGAATAGAATGTCAACACTGAAAGTTAAACAAGGATAAGCCACTTGGTAGAAGGATTCGATCCAGAAAAAAAAAATCATTATTATACGGGTAACAATGATAAACATACCTTTTAACCTACATTCGTAATGCAAATTGATGTTTTGACTTCAATATATTGTTTTTATTTTTCCTTTCTGGTCATTGGTTTTTTTACATAGGATTAAACATCTTTTTTTGTTTGAAATAACTGTCAAGTATAATGTTTTACTTGTCCACGGGCAACGCAGACAAACAAAAAATAAATACTTGTCCAGATGTTCAAATGTACGAGTCGGGCGAGTGAGTCATATCATTTCTACACCCTGAGCTCGAGACATTCCCGGAAAAGAAACCTTCAACAGCAATGATTGTCAAAAAGGTCATCATAGATACTAGGATTAATGTGTACAACAGACGCACGTTTCGTCAAAACCAGCTACGCTCAAACCAAACAAGTTAAACGCTGAAATATAGTTTGAAGATGAAAATCATTGATGAACCAAGAAATTGATGGATAGATACCACACAGTTAACAGAACATGGAATTGTTGTAATACGGGAGCAGTCAAGGGAAAGGCATATTTGTTTACCTTTTGAAATAACGACCATTAAAAAATCTAAAATATCACTATTTTGTTTCAATATGAATACAAACGTCATGTAGATAAACATCGTTACCACAGTTGAATAAAAACACCAACGGACACCCTTTATAAAGATCTTTCAATAAAGTATTATTGATATCAATCATGTCTATCCTGAAGATCTAGTTAACAAAACATGCAACGGACCCATAATTACAATCATTGTTTTGGTCTACTTTAATACTTAAGTATATATGTGCAACCTGTTTACGGTTCATTATATGTACAAACTGGTATATTGTAATAGAGTGCTCTTGTTGTTATTGAACTATGGTCTTTTGTCGAAAATGTTAGAAGATATTTTATGATTCTATGTCATTTGTTTTAATATTCTATAAATATTATCATAACATTTAACAACTTGAATTTTGCATTTGCTATTTTACTATTCCTATAGACGGATTTAAAAACTGATTGTATAACACTACTCGATAAAGTATAATGGCTAGCACATGTATCATGGATATATGATTTTTCTATTCTTAAAAACTTAAATGAGCGGTGTATATCCCAATAAAAAAATAAAATATGTTGTATATTCGGATATAATATCGTTAACCATATCAATCTTCCTGTACCTGATGCGATTTTAGAAAACGTGCTTTATAATGACAGTTACGGTATACATTTTCATGCAGCAGATATGCAATTCAAATAAATGTCCCTTTAGTGATGCTCGGAGCGAAAATATTAAAACAAATATTGTTTTGAACATGTTTAAAAACCATATAAGGAATCAAAGCTATGCCTTGGAGATATACAGTATGTGCGTTTGTAGGAGAGGTCCTAATATAACAACCAAGGTAAAACCGAAAATTCTTATATGACGACCGATATATTGTCAGACAGTATAATCAAAGTATATCTATTTATAGTGGTAAAGCATTTATACATATATAAAATTGACTCCTCCACATTACCCCCACTTGATTTATATGACCAGGTAAACTCAATTTGCGACAGTAAAACCTACGATTTACGTAGGTCAAGCTTCAAATACAATACGGTTATCATTGTAATCCAAAATAAACACATCAGTCCATTTCGTCATATGTATGCTTCCGATGTCAAATAAACACTGTTTTTTAGGCTTCCTGAACGCCTCAGATTGCAATGCAATTGAACAAATAGAACATTTAAAGATGAATCAAACACCAAATTGGAAAACATTGATCACCCCTTCTAGTCAATGTATATTTTTCATTCACATGAATCAAACATCAGACTAACAGAAAAAAAACAACATGCAATCTGCTTAAGCTATTGACTGTCACGTCCAGATATATTGATTCTGTCCAGTTTCTTATTAACCAAAATTTTAGCAAGTGTTTGAATCTGTTAGTAAACATGATAATAAGAATGCTACCAAAAGTAGAAGGTATACTTCACATCTAGATGTTTTTCTTGAAATTAAAGCTGGTCAATAACATAAAAACAGATTATATGACAAAGACGACGATTTCAGCTTTCTTATGGACAACCACTTTTTTTTTCAATAAAACAAACCATGAATAAAGGCAACAGTAGTATACCGCTGTTCAACAATACTCATAAATCGATTGAGAGAAAACAAATCCGGGTTACGAACTAAAACCGAGGGAAACGAGGGAAAAAAATCCGGGTTACAAACTAAAACCGATGGAAACGCATCGACTATAAGAGGAAAACAACGGAACAACAGAAATACTGAGGTGCAACAAAAAAAAAAAACGTTAAAATACATAGAAATTGACTATAATTGAATGGCGTATCCCAGTTGATACAATTAAGTGATTGCATGTTCGCGTTTTATGGATTCCTCAACTAACAATAACATACCGAAAACCGATTCGCCACTCATACTCATATCATTTATAAACGAACGACAATTATCCTATAGGCTTTTATGCAGACTTCGACAAAACCACGAAATTAAATATCCACAAACATGCAAGTTTTCCATCATCCACGAAAATTGGTACCCACGAAAAAAAAGTTGTCCCAAGTACACAATATACGTGATTTAAACATTTCAACATAATGAAAAGTGAAATATCAAAAATACTGAATAAACAAACTTGGCTATGCTAAATATTTTAATTACTGTTACTGTATAAATTTGCTGTTTATGCATTACAATTGAAGAAAAAAATTAATATCAAAAACATTCTTTACATTTCTTATCCATAATTTTCTAATTTTATAGTATTTATCTTCTAAATAGCAACCATGCACATGAAATTCAAAGAAGTCAACGACACTTGTTATATTTTCTTTGATAAAAACAAGATACTTGAGTGTTATTAGTTTGCATATGTTTGTTACTGTATTCTGCAGGGTATGGCTACAAACGAACCACAGAATTTGTTAGAATGGCAGCTGCATTGTGTTCTAAAAAGAGCAAGCCTTCTTCAGTATTACGAGAGCTTCATCAAACATGGGAAGTATATTGAATAAAACATTTTTGTTTATTACTTTCTTTCAGTTACACATGAACATAATAGCAATACACATTTTATCCAAATATATCAATTCACATATAGAAGGAGCAATTTAAAACACAGGCAACAGATATTAAACGGTTTAATAAACAATCATCAGCTTATTAATTTAGCAGTTTTGGAACGTAATGCTAATGCTGAAAAGTTTTGATATGTATGCAGGATACAATCAATGTCATGGAGATGTTTAAGTAAAATTAAAAAAAATCCCGAACTCCGAGGAAAATTCAAAAACGGAAAGTTCGTAATCAAATGACAACACCAAAAGCTCAAATACATCAAACGAATTGAAAACAACTATCATATTCCTGACTTGGTACATGTATTTTCTTGTGTAGAAAATGGCGTCTGGCGAATACAATTGTCATCCTAATATCTATGCTAAGTTTATTTATAAAAGTCTTTATTGTAACACTACTAAAATTGGCTAAGACGGTAAAGCAACCATTGGGACGGTTGTTTTTCCCTTTTAACGTGTAATGAATGCTATCCCTTCTCTTTTTCCCATTGGTGATCTATAGTTTCCCTATTGGCTGATTTTTTAATACTGTGTGTTTTTTTTTCAGTTTTTAAATTTTACTGTTGCTCTCAAATGCCATTACCCTTACCATGTTTACATAATTTGTTCATAAGAGGTCATATTTATAATAGATCAATGATATATAATTAAAAATGTTAATGTTTTCAAACATATTATCCGAAATCCTGGTACATATTCTTTTGTGTATCTATTGCAATATTTTTCCTCAGTGGACATTTAGATTTTAAATGTTAAAAAGGATAAGAGCTGTTATGAAAAAGATGCAGAAGAAACCAAACCAAACACGAACACCTCCATCTGAACATTTAATGTGGCTTTGTACTTATACATACTGTCATTGTGTTATTGTTCTATGGTAAAAAAAAAAATGTATTCTTGTCTTTCATTTTTTCATAATGTGCTTTGCTATATGGCTTTTTGTGTTTCTTTTTTACATATTTCGTGGCTCTGTACTATACATCCCGTCGTTGTGTTATTGTGCTATGTTATTTTTTTTGGATTATTGTCTTTCAATTTTACTAATGTGCTTTGTCTATTTGCCATATTGTGATTCTTTTGTTTTACATATTTTGTGGCTCTGTACTTTACATCCCGTCATTGTGTTATTGTGCTATATTATATTTTTGTATTCTTGTCTTTCAATTTTGCTAATGTGCTTTGTCTATATGCCATTTTGTGATACAAATTTTTTTTTTATAGTGATTGGGATTATAACACACTGTTTACTGCTGTACCCCTATTTTTTTTAGATTTTTACCTATTATGTCTGTTTGTTGCATTCACACTTTGTTGTCAATTTAATGGAATTGTATGCGACTGTCATTCAATTGACAGGTTTAGCTAGCTATAACACCAGGTTTAATCCACGATTTTGTACATAGGAAAATGCCTGTACCAAGTCAGGAATATGACAATTGTTATTCATTCGTTTGATATGTTTGAGCTTTTGATTTTGCCATGTGATTACGGAATTTCCTTTTTGAATTTTCCTCAGAGTTGGGTATGTTTGTTATTTTACTTTTTTCCACTTAACGCTATATAGAAAAACTAAAATTTCATTGAGCAACATGAACGCCACCAAAACCGATGTTGAACTCAATATACCCAGGAAGGATATGCAGTTTCTTGTTGACATATAGCACCCGTCGTTTTGTAAGATGCGAAATTTAATACCAGATTCGAAGCATTATCTTAAAACTTACACATAACTATGGTGATAAAAATTTGATGACTAGAAGTCATTTACATTATTTACCTTACTTTGAATGTTATACCCCTGGATGGCGTTAAATTGTATGCAATTCCGAATATCGTGACCTGATTTAAAAATAGTCACTAGAAGTTGCATGTATAAAGCTTTTGATAGGAGGATTAATGAAATTCAAATATTCAAAAAACTTTCAGTGTTATTTCATTTCTTTTTTAGTTTTATCATCTCTTTAAAGATTGTATTTTGTTTTAGATTTTCGAATAGTGTTTCCAAGAGCATCACCGTAGAAACAGTAATTACCAAAATAAGTATCTGGTGCAGTACAAGTTGTACTGTTAATTTTGTTATAATAAAAATGTCATCATTCAAAAACTTATCAGAAATACATGTATTTAACTTTCAGAATTTGAGCATGCTAAATCGACCAACGTCTATTAAACTTTGTTTTAGGTGAGTGCGATGTACTGCAGTTATCTAAAGCAGAAGATGGGAAATTTAAAGACGTTATGGAGAAGGTTGGAATGGCAAAGAAATCGATACATGTTCGTCATTTCAAAAGCACGCTTCTTCAATGGGCAAAAGATCCAGGTAAACCATAAGTCAAGATATTTGCAATATTATGCATAAGTTAATTTTCTTGAAATAAAAACGGTGCTTAATTGCTGACAGAATGAAAATTGTGGAGCTGGAAAGAAACAATATATTCTGGTTTTTTTTTTCCTTTTTATACCGATGTGTGCCTTAATTATCGTAATTATTCGTCTGTTTATTTCCCATGTTTTATAAGTTATAATTAAGAAAACATACTTGGACTGGAATTAAAAGCAAACATATTTAAAACTTTTGTGAAAAAAAACTTACACAAATAAAAACAATCTCTCTACTGCCAAATATATATTAGTATGTCCTACAACTGGCTTCGGATAGAGGCGCTATTGCTATCAATAAGCAGCAAACTCCCACTCTCAGTTTACATCTCAGTGATTGAATTGATAACCACAATTTCAACTTTGACAAAGTGTTTTTTTTTTACTAAAAGTATATTCCTAAAACCTAAAACTCAAACTAAAAATCATTGTAATTTAAAACTTTGAAAAGTAAGATGAAGATGACACTCTGAATCGTTCAGAACTTTCATCAGTTTAACCTTTACGACATTTGGCTATATAATATTTTTATCCGGGATAACGAGCAGTACTAGGAAACTAACTTTTTGTGTAGTATAATCAATTTAGAAGGAGACCGACGAAATCTAAGCGTTCAATATATATCCAAATATCAGACTATATCAATATTGTAAACATTAAAACTTAAGATTTATTTGCTAATCAAAGGGAGATAAATGATAGTCATTTTAAGAGAACCCTACTAGTTTGGGAAGTTAAAAAACATAATACCATATATATTAAATGACGATATCCTTATATATTTATATAAATACTGATGCTACTGTTCAGCTTATAATAGCGCATAGATACCAAGATTTTAATTTTGTACGCCAGACGCGCGTTTTGTCTACAAAAGACTTATTATAAAATATCTTTTTTTTTCTGTTATCATAATCTTTATTGATATTATTGATGATACTGTTGTTTTTGTTTTCACTCCAATAAGCGTGGTTTACATCTATGAATCAATTATTTTCTCATTTGGTGGTAATAATGATAGTAAAACTGGATAATATGATTAAAGTATTAAAAACTACTTAAACGTTAAAGGTGAAAACCCAAGTTTTTGAAAGTGGTGATTGGTGTAATATTCCAAACAGAATGTAATTAAATTCATAATACAAGACATATAAAAAACTTAACTTATTGTGACACCTGATAATGTTTAGCCGGGAAGACACATATATATTACCTTATTCGTCTTGCGTCGATCTCGGTCGCGTCATCGTGGTCGTTCAAGTCACCTTTGTTAATCCACAACTACTCGAAAAAACAACGTTACTGGATTCAAACGCATCCTTAATTAGTTTTATTTTTTATCTAGAATTTAGTTAGGAATACCCGTGAAAACTTCCACAAAATGAAACAAAATCAAGTACATGCTTATATTATTCTGTGTACAAGTTAGGGACAGCCACATATTAAAACTTCTTTGAGACAATCAAACAGAAATAGTTTAATGCCATACGACAAAAGGAAACATAATAGAACAAAGACAAATACAGAGAAAACTGTCTTATTAGTAAAATGATATAAAATGTCAGCAGCTTCAAACTAAAGACCATCAAGTATTTTTTGTTAAGTATACACTGAATATTCATATATATTTTTTTGTATTTTCCGATGACCTTTTTGAGAAAAAAGGATGAGTAGTAAATTGACAAAGCCCTGGCTCATTATGTTTTTGCTCAGACACTGCTGACGTTTTACAAATATGAGTAGCAGCAACAACTTTTGAATATCGAATGAGTATAAATTCTTTCCTCAAAACGCGGGAGAAAATCGGAATATGCTGCTAAGGAGAGGAAAATCTATAATTCCAAAATTGAAATCGTCTCGATTGTCATAGATTTTGGTGCTGATATGATCGTTGCAGTAAAACTCGAAATAACTATCTATTATTGAGGCATACGAAGCTGTATCTGTGGTTATTTCATTTCTAGTTCATTTGGATATATTTATAGGACCCAATAAGTGAATTGATAGTATGCTGTAAAGTTCTTTGGGTTATTTTCATACAGTATAATGCGCTGTTAAAAATACTGTACTGTAATAAGAAAATTAAGATTTGTTAATGGAACGAAAATCATGAATATAACTGTATCGTGTGTATGTACAATTGAATGATCGAGCTTCTCTGAAAAAGTGTCTGTAGTAACTCTGACTCATATGAAAATAAAAAAAACAATCAGCAAGGAGAGGTGCACAGTTGTTCCCAGAGGAATGCTGACAATCGGTTGGCAATTCTACCTTGAAATTCAGCAAATATGTTGTAAATGACGAACTCCATCATACTGATTACTTGTTCTCTTAGGTGTAACATGTTTCATCCTCGGGTTGAATTTTAACAAAATATGCCGAATTGTATGCCAAAACAATTAATGTATAGCGTATGGTACCTTTCTGTATGGACACCTTGGAGAAAAGCATTGTACATTATTACTTATAGACATATATTTATATTTTTCAAGTGGCATCTGTTGTAAAGGATAGAGACAGTTTTGATAAAGAACGACAGAGATTTAAAGTTCTTTTTAGTTAGTATTGTTGATGCCACTACGCGAGTAAATAATTTCACAGTATTTATTTTATTCCTCTTTAACTGTGGACCAATCTGATAGAACATTCCTTGATAGGTATACAGATGAGCCGTCAATGTACCGTCGTATACATATATTTTTGGTGAAGTTAAGGTTTCCAATACAAACAAGGTCAGTCATCAGAATTGTTGCTCAACAGAATTTCAATTAGACCACGAAGGACTTATAATTTGTCAAGATCACATCCTTATAAAATATTGTTTTTTATAAACTGGATTACCCGAGCATTTAATTATTTCTAATTGGTTGATGAGAAACTCGGAACAATATCGTTTGAAGTTTTTTCGTGTTGGATTGAGTTATAAAATGTGAAATAAAACTGTGAATAGAAGGTATTTAAATTGAAAACATACAGTTATTGCACTTGAACTTAAAGAATTAAAGATCGACAATTGTTGTTGTCATGTACATAATAATATAGGAAAAATAACAACCCCTGGAAAAAAGGCAGTCTGCAAATATTTTGGTTTCTGAAGGTGCAACGTTACAGAAATAAAAAAAAAAAGATTACATTTTTTATAGTGAAACCATTGATGGATGTTTGCAGCATCATAACAAATCCATGAATGACGTTTTTTTTTCACAATGCAATTCATTCAGCTTATTGCTTTGTCACTGCTTTTGTATTGTCATTATTGAAAGCAAATGTAATATGACATGTTCAACAACTTTGCAAGATACAATAAATATATCCCTAATATTTCAGATGTATTATATTGAACATATAATAGCAAGGCTTTAGAAAAGGAATAACAGTACTGTATTTACAGATTTGTATCCGTACATCGCGAATTTGATTGTGGCAATACTTCAAGTACAGTACTGGTATTCCGTAACTAAATATAAATTAAAAAAAACATGTAATACTTGCCTATTTCGGTGTTTTCCTTTTTTAGGGACACAACTCATAACGCCCCTTTCATTTCCTTGTGGAAAATTGTCAAAGCAAGGTTACTATTACACTAAATGAATCAAGACATTTTAGTTACATCTTCCTAAATGACATTTGCGTCCATAAATGGCAAAGCATGTTTACTGTACTACGGGTCGTTTGTCTTATTGTAAAAGGATTTTGATATAAGACAATTGTTTATATCGCTTTAAAAGGACAAAGCTGTAAAATTCATGACCATCGATTTGACTCAAATTCTCATATTTGATTTATAACATGCTATAACGTATATCAAAATTATAATATGTCTAAAATAAACAAGTTACGATGCATAGACTCGATAATATGTATCAGTTTTCGTGTGTATTTTTGTCTAGACGCCATCTAATTAACCATCGAGATGACCCATGCAGACTGTTGACGGTCATATAACCCGTAGCTAATGCCCTTTTAAGGCAGTTACAATTGAATTAACACTGGGTAAACTCCCTGCACAAATATGAGGTTGCTTAGTGAACCATGAATTATTATTTTATAGCTATTTTATATCAAGAAACAAACTGATTTTGCAGTCAAATCTGTATTCATTGTAATACCCAATCCATATCCTATTTACAAGTAATTCAGCTTTCAAAGGGCTTGCAAAAAGGCATATTTATCATTTTAACAAAGCGTCACTTATGTTTCAATTTGACATTTTAATTTGTATTTTCAGGAAAGGATAAGCATGTGCCTAGCTACATACAGAAATCTGATGATTCTACAACGTCTCCAATGCAAAGAAGCTTGAAGCCTGGTACAGTGTCCTTTTCAATGACTGGGAAGTCTTCCGAGGTACCACAGTTGAAAAAATCCATAGAAGAGATCAAGACAAAAGAAAGAGAACTTACAAGTTATGTAAGGCTTATTTTTTTTTATTTATGAAATATCCTAAGTTCCATTTTAAATCGTATCAAAATATAAACGGAAAATGTATTGCCGAAGAAAATGCTTATCGGCAACACAAGCGTTTTTTAAATCTTTTATTTGTTTTTAGAAGTCAGGATTTAGAGTACCCTGAAACGGCGTTGTCAGTTTGTTTTCGATCTATCTTTCGTCCCTCTTTTTCAACACCTTACTATAGTTTTTTGGGGTACACATTGAATAATATGTACAAGACTATTCATTTTGTTTTTCTAATTGCGTATTTATCATATAAGAATATAGTTACTGAAAAAAGGCTACTCACGCTCACAATTGTACTAACTTTTAACACACGTGATTGTGTGTCCGCATAGTGGTCATCTATTGGTGTTTATATTGGATAAACAGGTTTGTGTTTTAAATATATGATATTTCGGATTGGTCAATATTTGTCGCATTGCGTAAATATATTGAGTATGATATTTGTTATGTAAATAGCACGGGATTTTTAAAGCGCGAATAGTTGTCTTGTTTAAGTAACTTAAGATATGTGGTCATTCGAAGCTCGTATACCGTTCATTAAGGCAGCTTAGTTTAGGTTAAGATATGTCCGAACCAGTACTCGATCTGAATGAAGAAGATTTGTTAAGGGACCCCTTACATGGTCAGCCCGAACGTCTTAACGCTTCCAATTCACAAGCTAATCAACAAAACCGTGACTTAGTAGACACTTTTGGACTTTTTAAAGACTATTTGGATAAGAAACTTGTTGATTTAAAGTCCGACATTCTGTCAGAACAAGACAATTTATCCAAGAAATACAGAGATGAGGCTAATATTAAGTTCAAATCAGAAGGGAATCGGATTCAGTTTCGTTTTAATGAGAACATTATGGATGGTCTTAACAAAATCCACAAGGATCTTGTATCTGTTGCTTCCCCCCTTTCTTCTATTACTGGTGATTTGGTGGGTAAACTTAAAGAAAGGAACAAACTCATCAGGATCGCTGATAACTCAACTGGGGGATGGGTTACGGTTAGAGAATATGAAAATAACGATATCGCCGAAAATGATGAGGTCGAGAAAAAGATTCGCCAGGCCGAGACTAGAGCCCTCAAAACTATTAAGGAGAAAAAGACCCGCCCTCAGCCGTATACAGCTAGACCTACTCCAGCAGTTGGAAGTATCGCTACTGCCACTGCTCCTCCTCCAGCTTACGATTTCAGTCGCTATCAACAGCCCTTTCGTACCAGCACTGCACGGCTTGAGCCGTGCCCCATGGACATCTGTCACTACTGCAAGCAGTATGGTCACTGGAGAAGGAACTGCCCACTCAACTTCAAGTCAGCCACAGCTTCTGCACCCAGTTACCAGCCATCCAAACAGCAATGATACAGTTACTGTTAATGATAAGTATCTAGATATAAGTTTGTTATCTTCTAGCTATGAATGCAATAACGACGAACTTGACGAATTTATGTCACAAGTTCAATTTCTTGAAAAATTAGATTTTTCTGCTAGTCATAACTTTAAAGGTGTTAAAGGCAGGCTTGCAAAACATTACGATTTTTGGGTTAAGATTGGAGCTAGTGATTTTGTTTTTGATACAATTAAAAACGGTTATGTAATCCCATTTTTAGTGCCTCCCCCTAGTATGCACATGAAAAACAATAAATCTGCTGTTTCTAACTCAGAATTTGTGGATAAAGCCGTTTTAGAACTAGTTGATTCTGGGTGTGCATATGAAATTCCCTTTACGCCTTATATTGTTAATCCTTTATCAGTAGCCACCAATAAGTCCGGAAAAAAGAGGTTAATATTGGATCTTTCAATTTTAAATAAATCCGTCAAAAAAGAGAGATTTAAATTTGAAGACTGGAAAACACCTATTCAATTTTTCAAAAGAGGTTCTTATCTGTTTAAGTTCGATTTAAAGTCTTGTTATCATCATTACGACATTTGTCCTCAGCAACAAACGTTTCTTGGTTTTTCCTGGAATAACAAGTATTACTGTTTTTCAGTTTTAGTTTTTGGTCTAGCTTCTAGCCCTTACTTGTTTACCAAATGTTTGAGATCTATGGTCAAATATTGGAGACAAAATTCGATTGATATTGTTTTGTATTTAGATGATGTTTTCGGAATGGCTTCGGATTACGAATTATGTCGGAAAGATTCAGATTTTGTCAAAAAATCACTAAAAGAGACTGGTTTTTTAGTCAATATAGAAAAATCTGTTTTTGAACCTACCCAAAAGTTAGAATGGTTAGGAATCACTTGGGATTCTGCTCAATTCTGCATTTCTATTCCCGAAAGAAGATTAAATGATTTGTTACAGTCTATAGATGAAATTTTAGACAGATTTTTGTTTTTCTCTGCTAGGCAATTAGCTCAAGTGACTGGTAAGATTATTTCTTTATCACCAGTGTTCGGAAATTTGACTAGATTGATGACAAGATATTGTTACTTGTGCATCGTGCAAAGATTGAGCTGGAATAAATTATTACAAATAGTTTATCCAGCTGAGATTTTGAATGAGCTTAAGTTCTGGAAATCTAATGTGCTTACTTTGAATAAAAAGAAATTGGCTATGTACAGCCCTTCTTCGATAGTAATTTTTTCAGATGCTAGTAATGTAGCCTGTGGGGCTTATACTGTAGAATTAGAAAATAATATTTTTCACAAAATGTGGAACGAATTAGAAAGATGTAAAAGCTCCACCTGGAGAGAGATGAGAGCAATCGAACAGGCCCTATTGTCGTTTAGTACTCTATTTATGGGCAAAAGTTTAAAATGGTTTACTGATAACCAAAACTGTGTACGTATAGTACAAGCTAGAAGCATGAAGGAAGATTTACAAAATCTTGCCTATTCTATATTTTGTATTTGTAAAGAGCACAATATATTCATTGAATTACAATGGATTCCCCGCACATTGAATTCAAAGGCAGATTACATTAGCAAAATGAGTGATCATGAGGATTGGCAAATTTCAAATAAATTTTTTGAATTTTTAGAAAGTTTATGGGGACTTTTTACTGTTGACAGGTTTGCTAGCGTGATGAATAACAAGACAAAAAGGTTTAACTCACTTTTCTGGAATCCGACCGCAGAAGCTGTAGATGCATTTACAAAAAATTGGCATGAAGAAAATAATTGGCTTGTCCCCCTATTTATTTAGTTATACGCACAATTAAACATCTGATTTACTGTAATGCTAAAGGGTCTTTGATTGTCCCACGATGGGTGTCTGCGCCATTCTGGTCATATATTTTTAATAAAAACTTGACTTACAAAGCTTATGTTAAAGATATGCTAGAATTTAAAGAAACGAATAGAATCTATTCAAAAGGAAGTAGTCCGAAGTGTATCTTTGGAACTGAAAAATTTTTATCAACTGTTCTCGCAGTTAGACTAGACGCTAGTCTGTGATTTTTTCACATGGTCCTGATATCAATTTCGGTATTGCAGAGGCATGGTGAATGAGATTTTACGTTGTACATATTACTCAGTTGAGAATGTAAAAGATGAAGGATTTTTAGCGACATGGCCCTAGTATCATATGTTGTAGTATGATATTGTAGTAGGCACGGTTGATTGTTTAATGTCATATGCATTTTATTATAATAATTTATATGAATACTTGTTTAATTTTCCTTTATTGGGTAACACATTTTTCAGATGTTTTCAAAACCGGAAGATGGATTGATATTAGTTCTTTTCGTCAGTCACAATCTCCATCCATGCAGCTCCTTGTAGACCAGATACCTTCCTTTTGTTTGTCATCTAGAGCACCCAACACTCAACGACAGTATAGATATGTTTTCAACGCTTTTTGTAAGTGGTGTTTATCTATTAATATTTCAAACACGTTACCTGCTTCAGTTATTTCTGTCGCATCGTATTTAGTTTATTTGACTAATATTAGTAAATCTACTAGCAGCATAAATGAAGCTTTTTATGCTATAAGTTGGGCTCATAGATTAGCCGGAGTTGAAAATCCGTGTAAATCGGATTTGGTTATTTCTGTGAAGGAAGGATCTTTGAGATCTGTTGGACACATTGTGGTTAAGATAGAACCTATAACACCAGAAATTTTGTATCAAATTGTTATGCTTTATTGTAACGATAAATCTAATCTTAAAGATGTTAGAATAGCATGTATGTGCCTTATAAGTTTTGCTGGATTTTTGAGGTATTCAGAATTAGCAAATCTGACAAGAAATAATATTGTTTTTCATGATTCGTACATCGTTTTACTGATAGAGAGTAGTAAAACTGATATTTACCGTGAGGGTAGAGATGTACTCATTTTAAAAACGAACAAAATTACATGTCCCGTTAAAATGTTGATGAAATATTTAGATTTAGCAAACATCAAGTCAGACAGTAATGATTTGATTTTTCGTCCTTTATCTTTTTGTAAATCTGTAAATGGTTACAAATAAAGAAATGGGAAGCTTTCTTATACTACTGCAAGAGAAATTCTGTTATCTACTTTAACATCTATTGGATTAGACAAAAAGTATTTTGGTTTGCATAGTTTGAGGTCCGGAGGCGCCACTGCTGCTGCAAACGCGCATGTGGAAGATCGAATCTTCAAAAAACATGGTCGCTGGAAATCAGACCGGGCTAAGGACGGATATGTCAAAGAGAACATCAGTGAACGTCTGACAGTAACTAAAAATTTAGGAATTTAAAAACACACATTTGCGCCTTTCTTTGTTTTGTAGAAAATAGCTGCACATGCTGGCGAGCTATTCCTATGTAACAAGTGTTTGTTTTTATTTTATAAATACTTTATATGCGTTTGAGGTGACGAATTAGAATATAAATGTATTTATTAAAGTTGAGCATACACGTGTTTTCTATTATGTAAACAATCACACGTGATTGTGTGTCCGCATAGTGGTCATCTATTGGTGTTTATATTGGATAAACAGGTTTGTGTTTTAAATATATGATATTTCGGATTGGTCAATATTGATCGCATTTCGTAAATATATTGAGTATGATATTTGTTATGTAAATAGCACGGGATTTTTAAAGCGCGAATAGTTGTCTTGTTTAAGTAATGTAAGATATATGGTCATTCGAAGCTCGTATACCGTTCAGTAAGGCAGCTTAGTTTAGGTTAAGACCACTCTCCCCCCCCCCCCCCCCCCCCCCACCCGGATTAAGATGCTTGTATATTTGAAATGTTTTCACGCATAGATAGATAGATATTTATACTATCAGTAGGACATTGTTTGTTTGATTATTAAGATTAATATGTTTATATGATTTCTGATTTTGTTTTTCTATTTTGTAGGCTGTCGTGTACTACGCAGCGGTGTTGCCGATATCATGACATCGGGACTCAATATTTTGTTTTAATAAAATTTAACAGTAAGCTGCACATGCTGGCGAGCTATTCCTATGTAACAAGTGTTTGTTTTTATTTTATAAATACTTTATATGCGTTTGAGGTGACGAATTAGAATATAAATACATATATCAACTGCTTACTGCAGTATGATTTAAAATATAAATGATAATAAATCACGAAAATATTTTATGTAATGGGGTGAATCGTCCATAAGCATTTGTTCTTTTATTTTTGTACGCAATATAATTGTTTTTAGATTGGTATTATTTTATTCTGAATTTTAGTACTAGGAATCTTTTTTCAACTTACACCTGAAAAATTTATACAATGCCAATGTAGGTCATATTCTTCTGCATTGCCCCAGTGTTCTCTATCAGGATAAGCTAACTGTATAACTTGAACAATCCAATAGGCAATAGTGTGTGACCGTACAGGTTTAAGATTTGTTACATACCTTTTTAATATTTTCAATAAAACTCTCCTAAACATCTCAGGAGGAGTAGTATTGTTTAAAAAAGTCTAGTTGGTTGAATATTTTAAGATGCATGAAACACTGTATGCAGTTTTGTCATTAATGTATTAATTGATACCTAGAGTTCGAATCCTGTTGATGGAACATATAATGTCGATGTGCAAAAACTAATTATATCCTGAGGTCAGATGATATATAGATATAAGGCGGTATAGATTGAATATCTGTTTATGATAGCTTGTGCTCACATTAATTTGAAACTGTGTACACATGGTCAGTGGTAAACTCTTTTGTATGTATGCCCTATTCCGATTTTGACCAATATTTCACGGTTTACTAAACATGGAACTAATATAGTCTGCGCAGGGTATGGTGTCTTGTGGACGCATATTCTTGTTCTGTTTACATACGGTTAGTTCCTTTCAAATGACAACACTGTAATTTTTTATCTATCCGATGCGGCAAGATGAAATTAATAGTAATTATTCAAGTGAAAATAATTGATACAACTACTTTTTTTAGAAATCCGAGAAGAAAAAAGACCATCCGAAAGAAGACACCACACAAAAATACACACAAAGTGTAGTCAAAGGTAATATTCATTTCAGATGTTTTTCCATGCATTACACGTTGGAATGTACCACTAGAATTTTGATTTTCAGTGCATTGTGGTTCAATGTAACAGTAATTTGTTTCTTCAAAACTCTGGTTGTATGGGATATAGATATATGGTGACCCTTGAACGTATATTTTTCTAAAGTAGGGCGACCCCACACATATAAAACGTGATCTCTGCATGTTAAAAAGGCAAATTATACTTACTTTCAGACTAGTTTAATTTATGATGAATGGCATACAAATGTGATCTAAATTCTTTTTTTTTATGCAATTGTTGAAACTGTGGGATCCATATTTATTTCAGCATGCATTTCTTTTTTTCTAAAATTGTAAAAACTTATCGAAGATATCAGGCTTATAGTTTGGTACGGCAGAAGTAAGTTTCGTTTATATAAAACTCGTCAGTGGCGCCTGAATCAAAACAGTTTGAAGGTCAACTCAAATACAAAGTTGAAGAGAATTAAAAACATCTTATAACTTAATTTATAAAAAAATAATTTGCATGTCAATGATATTTCATTTCAATACATAAGTGATCGGAGGGAAACGTTCACCAGCAGTTGTTTCGACACATTGGTTGTAAAACAAATCAAAGATATCAGGCTTATAATGCGAAACTCCAGGGCCTACCACGGTCATAAAACTCAGTGCTTGGAGCACAGAAACCCCAAATCCAGTATTATGATTGGTTGAATTCTGAGTGTAAGAACGTACCTCTTATGTTTATGACCGCGTGTTTTGTCTACATAAAACTCATCAGTGGTCCTTGAATCAAATTAGTTGGAAGACCAAATCGAAGTTGAGGAGAATTTAAACCCGAAAATTACAAAAAATTGTGCGGAATTCGGCTTAGGCAATTTATTACTTGGCGTAGGAAAAGCTTAGTGTTTTAAATAGTTCTCATTTTGTAAACAGTACATTTACAAAGAAGGTATGTTGTGATGTTACACTATTGTTTCAGAAAAAGGGTGAAGGTTTGGTACCATTAAAACGTTTAAACCCGCTGCATTTGTTTGCACCTGTCCTAAGTCAGGAATCTGATGTTCAGTAGTTGTCGTTTGTTGATGTGGTTCAAAAGTGTTTCTCGTTTCTCGTTTTTTATATAGATTAGACCGTTGGTTTTCCCGTTTGAATGGTTTTGCACTAGTGATTTTGTGGGGCCCTTTATAGCTTACTGTTCGGTGTGAGCCAAGGCTCCATGTTGAAGACCGTACTGTGACCTATAATGGTTTACTTTTATAAATTTTGACTTGGATGGAGAGTTGTCTCATTGGCACTCATACCACATCTTCCTTTATCTATGTATCAATTATATTTTATGCCAACACAAAAGTGCTGACTACTGCTGATAAAAATGTTATCAATAAAGATAGAAAAACGAAAAGTTTTTAATCAAAATGCAACCAAAGCATATATGAAATAAAATCTGATTAACGTACAATTACTGTTACGTACAAATAACAAACAGTTTATGTAAGAACTGGTGAATAAACAACCTTTCAATTTTTTTTACTCTCATGTGAGGTCGGGTAGGCAGTTAAAAGTGATTTAGTTTGTAATAAATAGAACAAATTACATTTGTACATGTCAACTGTTAATTACATTCCCTTAAATTTTGTTATTTTCGGTAGTGAAATAGAGTATTAATTATAGCCAAGTTTGTAAAGATGTAAATATCAGTGAAAATACACCTACGTCATGTAATTGCAGTAATTCCGAATACACTTATGGACCCATTTCCCATGTTATAACAGGAGACCTTAACATCGTTCACGACCGAGAGTTAAAATCATTCTTCAGTAAAGGATCTAAATATCGTCCCCCGTCAATTATTAATTGGAATGAGTGTCGCAATATCATCCACGACTCACTTCGTGCTTACTGTTTGAAATGGATAAAACGGGAAAAAGCTGACAAAAAATCTTTGGACTCTTTTTTTAATTCAGTAATGAAGATAGTTGATATACGTATACAACATTTTAAAGAACATTTTACTCTTAACAACAACCATAAAAATCCTATTTCTCGTATCAAACATAAACTAAAAGAACTAGCCAAGGAATTTTTTTTTGTCCCGGCTGATAAAGCTGCTAATAATATCAATATAGTTTGACGTAAATTTTACATTGAGGTTCTGCAAAAGGAAATCACGAATTCACCAACATTCCAACTGACTTCACTCTCAGAAAACGATATCTGTAACAAACATAAACTATTAGCTACTTCTTTACAAGCAGAACCAAATACAATGAAAGTCCCAACTATGTACTGGCTTCCGAGGCTACACAAATCAGATTTATTTCGTCTTCAAGTCATTGTTCCACTACTAAATTGTCTATTCTACTTACTAGTACACTTGGTACAATCAAAAACCTGATAATAAATTGTTCAAATAAGGCCTTTGAAAATAGTGGAATTAACTACTTTTGGAGTGTCAAAAACTCGTTGGAAGTACTTGATAAATTGCATGCATTTATTGGTGATTTTGAATCTGTTCAAAGTTTTGATTTTTCTACCCTATATACCACTTTGCCTCATATTCACACACCTAATTAAACATGTTAAATGGGCATTTAAAAAGTCGGAATGCGAATACATATGTTCAAACTCTTTTAGGTCATTTTTTAGTAGCAACAAACAAAAGAGCTATGTCAATTGGACATGCTGTGATACTATATCTGCCCTTGAATTTTTACTTGATAACATTTTTGTTCGCTTTGGAGATTCCGTATATCGTCAAGTTATTGGAATTTCAATGGGAACTAACTGTGCACCACTTATTGCGGACCTGTTTTTGTATTGTTATGAGTTACAATTTATGACTAAAATCAGCAAAGACCTATCGAAACAACATCTGATACAAAAATTTAACAATACTTTTAGATATTTGGATGATATATTGGCTCTCAATAATGACGACTTCAGTATGTATACTAAAGAAATTTATCCTGTTGAACTTACTTTAAATAAAGGTAATACTAACAATGACCACTGTCCTTTCCTCGATCTTGATATCTATATCATTAACGGGAAACTTAATACAAAAATTTATGATAAAAGAGATGATTTTTCATTTCCTATCGTTAATTATCCATTTTTTAGATGGTGACTTTCCCTTTGTCACCATCTTAAGGTGTTTATATATCTTAACTTGTACGATTCGCTCGTGTATGTAACAACGTATTAGATTTTAGCGAGAGAAATTTATGTATTACTGAAAAATTATTACACCAGGGTTTTCGATATCATAAACTAGTCAAAACATTTACTAAATTTTATCATCGGTATAAGGACATCATTCGTAAATATAACTCAACATGCAGACATCTTATACGTTCGGGTATTTCACATCCAATCTTTTATGGTAATATTCTTTACAAAGCACAAAAATGTCAGTATTCACCTCAAAAGCTAACAAAACCTTTAAGCAGACTTATTAAAAAGGGATATAGTTACGATACTGTTGTCAGGTCATTAAAGATTGCATATTTTGGCTTTAATATTGATTCACTTATAGGTTCTTTGCATCTGAATTAAACATATTTATTCTAAAACCAGTTGTTGGCATAACACGGGTTATGTTCTTCTCATATATTTTATGATGGTATAATACTAAACCCCTAACAGGAGGGATTGTGCCTGATATTCATATGATGGAGACATAATCTTTCAATCAGTTTAATTGAGGTCTGGAGCTGGCATGTCAGTAACTGCTAGTAGTCTGTTGTTATTTATGTATTATTGTCATTTTGTATATTTTCTTTTGTTTCCTATTCTGACATCGGACTCGGACTTCTCTTAAACTGAGTTTTACTGTGCGTACTGTTGTGCGTTTGTTTTTTCTACATTGGCTAGAGGTATAGGGGGAGGGTTGAGATCTCAAAAAACATGTTTAACGTTTAAACCCGCTGCATTCGTTTGCACCTGTCCTAAGTCAGGAATCTGATGTTCAGTAGTTGTCGTTTGTTGATGTGGTTCATAAGTGTTTCTCGTTTCTCGTTTTTTATATAGATTAGACCGTTGGTTTTCCCGTTTGAATGGTTTTACACTAGTAATTTTGGGGGCCTGTTATAACTTACTGTTCGGTGTGAGCCAAGGCTCCGTATTGAAGACCGTACTGTGACCTATAATGGTTTACTTTTATAAATTTTGACTTGGATGGAGAGTTGTCTCATTGGCACTCATACCACATCTTCTTATATCTATTAACCCCGCCACGTTTTTGCGCCTGTCCCAAGTCAGGAGCCTCTGGCCTTTGTTAGTCTTGTATCATTTTTAATTTTAGTTTCTTGTGTATAATTTGGAGTTTAGTATGACGTCCATTATCACTGAACTAGTATACATATTTGTTTAGGGGCCAGCTGAAGGACGCCTCCGTGTGCGGGAGTTTCTCGCTGCATTGAAGACCCATTGGTGGCTTTCGGCTGTTGTCTGCTCTATGGTCGGGTTGTTGTCTCTTTGACACATTTCCCATTTCCATTCTCAATTTTATATTGCAAATAAAAGACAGACATAGTAATTCAACTTACTTGCAGGGGATTCCGTGGGTATATTTCTGAAATAATTTTAAAACATAAGATTTATCAATTTCAGATCATGGACATCATGGACTTACTGGTTACTATGATGATTTATTAGATAACACTGTTCTTGACAAGATGGTTCTAGACAACCTGATTTCTAGATGCATTTTAATGATAGAGGACAGAGAAGAAATTATCAAACCAACCACACAACGTGAACGTAACAAGGTTCTACTGGATATCTTAATTGAACGACCATATCCTATCTTCCATTTATTCAAGGATGTCTTACAGGAATCGGAACCAAACAATAGTTGTGTTCAAGAGCTTGTCAAGAGAATGATGAGTACTGAAAGCAGGGACGAACACATTAGTTGCCAAGGACATGAGATTAGTAAGTAGTTTCAGCTAAAAAGTTGTTGAAAAAAAATGTAGAATGAGCCATCAACTTTAACTTATAATATTACAATGTCTTAATATCTTTAAATGTAAACCATTCCTAAATTTTGACTAAATTTTAATGGCACAAACTGGGATCATGTGATGGACAATAACAAGTGTTGCTTACTTCAAAAATGCAAAAGGCTGTCAGCAGAGATCAAAATTTACATTGAAACGCTATTTCTATTTAAGAATAGATGGAAGGAATTTAACCCAAGTTATGCAGAAATGTTCCTTAGATGGACATTTCTGTTTGTTATTTCTTTGGTTTTAATAACGAATCATAAATTTCATATCATGGCAAAATACATATTTCGAGTGGTTCAGACTCCCAGTAGCCTCTATCTATAATTACTATATGAATTTACTGCTGTTATGTTAAATATCCCATATTTCCTAATTAATACATTTACTCTGCCCAGCATAGGGTAACATGATTGGACTAATAAAATATCGTGTATCAACAAAAACATTTAAAAAACGATGGTATTTTATATAGTTATGTACATTCCTGCTTTGTGGTGTGAACTAATCTGTGAGGCGTATTATAAGATTATTATTTCAGGCAAGTGATTATCCTTTAACCTTTATCACAGCGAATAAATTTAAGTTTTTTCTTTTTCTTTATCTAAATGCAAAACATGGTAGTTGTACAAGTTTTTGGCGTGAAAAAAAACAAGTGTAAATGTCAATTAAAATTTAAGAAATAACAATCTAATTAAAATTAAATCCTTGAATTGCTCCCGTTCTGATATGTCGCGCAACAATTCGTTTAAGAGATCAATTCTGATTGGACGAAAAATTAATGTTATTCAAATAAAAAGTTCTTGAAACTATGTCACAAAATTTGACCTCTCTTTCGGGTTTCGTTAGATCCTTGATGCGCGACATATTAGAACGGGAGTAATTCAAGGATTTAATTTCATATTAGATTGAAGAAATAAAAAAAAAAGTTCTAGTAACGTAAGGTTTTAGCAAAGTATTGCATTTGTGTTGATTCCAGGTGTAATAATAATAATAATAATAATAATAATAATAATAATAATAACATTAAATAATAATGACTTTATTTAAAGGGGATGACTTTATTTAAAGAGGATGACTCAATAAGCATTCACTAATCTATCTTGAGGCCCTCACAAAAAACATACTGAAGAACATGAAGAAGTATTACAGATATTACAATTTTTGAACAATAAATTAAACTTTCATGGTAAATGATTGTCTGTAGAACAAGAAAAACAAAACAAAACAATACATTATATAAAAACGTTAAAAAGACATGAAAGAGTTAGAGTGTTGTTACATATCATTTATAGTAAACAAAAAAGGAGCTATATGTAAATGATGTTTTAATCGAATTTGTATTAGGCCTCACTAGCGCTAGATTATTGTTTGTAGAAGATCTTAGATTTCTGCTGTGTAGGTTTATAATTGGACAACATAGTTCTTTAAGTTAATTATTTGCTTTATTTTTGAGAATTTCATGAACAAGAATCAATTTATGATAAGAAATACATCCTGGATTTAGTCATTTTAGTTCTTTAAACAAATTTACAGTAGGAATTCCATCTGCATTACAATTTCCCCATATTGAGCAACACAAATCAAATAATGGCAGAATATAAGCATTATAAAATAATTTTCTACTACTAATATGTAGATATTTCTTAATTCTGGATAACAGTGCAATACGAGAACTTATGCTTTTAAATACATGATCAATTTGAAATTTCCAGTCTTTTTTTTTGTCAATGCATATACCAATAAGCTTTTGTGTTTCAATAGATGTTATTGCTATTTTGTATTGATATTAGTTTATGACCTATCAAATTCGTGGCAACCAGCATAGAAGTTGTTTTAAAAGGATTTATTACCATTTTGTAGTTTAAACACCATTTATTTATAGGTTTGGCATCATGGTTTAGTTTTCTCTCTGTCTCTCCCTTATTCATACCATGGGTATGAAGTGTTGTATCATCTCAATACATGTCAATGACTGAATTGAATGCCTCTAAAGTCATATCATTTATGAATAAAACAAACATTAAGGGATCCTTGAGGAACCCCATTTTAATATGATGAGAAATCTGAAGCTGTATTAACTGAGCACACTTGTTGTGTTCTATTAGAGAGGTATGACTTGAACCATTTCACTGAATGATCTGAGATTTTGTATAAATGTAATGGTTGGCAGAGAATGAGGTGATCAACAAGACCAAATGCTTGTTTCAGATCTAGAAAGACTGTTCCTACAAAATTGCCGTCATCAATATATTTAAGCCAGTTATCTATCAATTTGGTAAGGGCTGTTTGGAATGAGTGGTTTGGTCTTAATCCGGATTTTGCCTCGTGTAATAGTTTATATTTTGACAGATAAAGATAAAAATGATTGGCAACATGTTTTTCAAATACGTTAGATATGTTTTGTGATTGAGAACTGTTTACAATAGTTCCATTATACTTGACACAGCTACCCACTTACACACTGTTAACCCCAATTCGCGCGAGTACACGTGCTGTCATGATCGTTGATGTACTACTGTTGTAAACGGAGAGCATGATTTTCACTAGAAAATCACATTGACTCCTCCGGAACCTCTGTGTTACAAGTCAGCACCCGAACCGATTGAGCTAAAGCAGTACTTCGAATCCATAGCTTAATCGATAACTGCTTGTTAAGTATCTACTACACTAAATACTGACGTACTGTTAATTTGGATCGTCCATAGATCTTATGGCTGGCGAATAAATAATATAGATTTTCATTCATCTATCGACTGCTGGAAGTATCTTGCAGTTGCTTCGTACTTCAGCCACATTTAAGAGGATAACATATTTAGCAAATGATCAAGTGAGTAGGTTATGTTAGCATAGAGGATCGAAAAGGACAACTGGATAAGTGAAATGTGTTTTACACTGTCTGAAGGCTGGATTCTGCATTCAATTAATGTTCTCATTCTGGAGACTATGATTCCGTACTCGTACGCAGTGGTTGTCCCTTTGACTTATGGAAAATCACATCGTACACTTTTCTTAATTTCAATATTTTAAAAATACATTTAAAAATAAGGAGATGTGGTATGATTGCAATTGAGACAACTATCCACCAAAGTTTTAATGAATTGGATGTAAGCAATTATTTTTGTCTTTGTTCGTTGATGAATAGTTCAAATTTAAAAAGCAAGACCTAATCTATTATCATTTTCCTTATCATGCCATGATCCAACTAATGCATACATTATAATCCTCACGTATTTTATGCAACGTTTAAGACAGCTTTTGTTTAAAATGACTAAATAAATTGTTCTAACGGAAAATATAACTCGCAGAAGCCTTTTTTAGTTCGCTAAGCTTTATCAGTAGTGGACCCGGGAACTTTTGAATTAACAACATAAACTGTTCAAATTGTATTGCACCATGCTTTACAAAGGGTGAGTGGTAACATGTGAATAAGGAGAGGAGGAAGGAGCCAAACCTTATATTTATTTTAATGCTGAAGACATTCTTGATCTTGACGTATATAGCATAGACACCTCTCTATTTTTGAAGACCGTGTGTCTATTGCGTGACTCATGCGTTTGTACATGCGAATTCATATTAAAGATATATTTGACTTTAAGATCACACAGGTAGTGCCAATATCACCTGAATTAATAAGGACCATTTCAAAAAGTATGTCAATCTTTATGTAATTTGTAACAGTTGTCCACGTTATAAAAGCCTGGCGATAACCAAAAACCGAAAGTTTGACAGAATTTGGCAACTTATGAGTATTTATCTAAAGATATATAGGAAAGATATTAATAAGAAAGACCAAAATTATGTTTGAACTAAAGTTGTATATTATCTATCTGGTACATAATAGTTTATTTTGATTTGTGATGTCGTTCGATGAATTTTCAAACACATGTACAATTGATAATGTTGTATCAAAATGACTTCAACATTTAGCCCCGGCATTTAGCGCCGAATTATATTTTGATTGTATTAAAACATGTTTAAATTTTTTGGCCAAAGTATACGATAATCAAAAAGGCTCTTCAATATTTAAAATTGCACCTCAGTGGTAAAATGAATCGGTATCTTGAAACCATCGCTGATGACATGCATCAATAAATATGTATTATTTCGTGAAACAAACCATTTCAAGCATTAATTTGACAAAAACATTATTAAGGAAAGGAACCCTACTTCATTTCTGTTCACAGCGTTTACTTGAAATTATTTTATTCATAGATATCAAACATTTTCCTTCTGAAATTATATAATATGCAAGTTGTGTATTGAACTCCATGTATTGAATATATCATACGCTAATAGATAGAATTCAAGAGAGTGCAATTATGACAAGATAGGATATTGTCTCCATGGTCAACATTATAAGTGGTAACCATGACAATGTCTGTCGTGATTAAATATCACTCTTGAAAAGTAGATTAGATATTAAAAACATACAGGCTTATGATGATAAAAAAAAACATGGACGCACACATGAAATATTGTAGAAACAACTATTGTTTATATGAATCCGAAGTTTTCACAAAATAAGTGCATTCAATTTTATGTATATCACAACCAGGAATTTATACATTTATACAGACTTTACATGTAATTTAAATGCCACTACAAATACAGTACTGGTATAAAAAGTCATCAATCAGTACATTTCTTACTCATATGTATTCAGTACAATTAATTGTATGTTTGTTTTCAGTAATGCTGAGAAAAAGTTGTTTTCAGTACTGAAATTTCAGTCATTTTTTAGTATTGAAAATTTCAGTCATTTTTCAGTACTGTAAATTTCAGTCATTTTTCAGTACTGAAAATTTCAGTCATTTTCAGTACTGAAATTTTTTGTCATTTTTCAGTACTTCGATCTATATATAATTATCTTATAGTTTTCAAGAATATATTTTAAGCATGTGTCAGAAAACTTCATCGTGACGCTAT